CCTATTTGAAAACTAACTCAATTCACAGCGAAAGAACCGCTCATTATACTCTGCCAGTAGAGGCGACATTTTGCGCTTCTGTCACAATCCACTTAATTTCCATGCTCATAGAGTGGGAACATAAAAGTATTTTAAAATAAACTGAAAAGAAATCAGTCAGAAAGTTGTTTTGGCCACATATTTTTAGCTCTGAAACTTTAAAGAAAGCCACTTTCCTGATTCATAATATTAGCTGATTAGTAGGTTTTAAAAATTTCCTATTGTGTTTTACATTCTAATGCTTTTAATTCATTTCACTTCAGTGATTCACAGGACCATCTGATATAATCAGAAAACAGTATGTTCTGCAATGTTTTGAACCAAACAGTAAATAAGCTTACAATGGAAGGTTATTTGCATATTAATTTCTTAGAGAAAAATAATTTAAAAACTAAGTTCTTCTTCAAAGACAAAACACCTAACTAGAAAAATGAAACTCACAAATTTTCAAATTGTCACAAATTTTCAGTATCAGTTCCATCAAAAAAACTAATTTAGTCAGCATTTAATTCCTAAATTATAAGAATATCTAATTTGTTTTTAATCTAAACTGCAACCTAAGTTTTAGACCATAGTTCAATAAAATATCATCTGTAAAACAATAAGTGCAAATTAACTATTCTATTTCAGGGTTTTACTTATACAAAACAAATAATAGATTGCTATTAAATATTGAACATTTTATTAATTCAGAATATCTGGTAAAACACTTATGATTAGGTTAATTTATGTTATATTTTCCCCTCAACTTGTGAAAGATTAATCAACCATTTTATGGCCTAATTTAGGTGCTTAATTAAAAACAGAGTTCAACACATGCTACACTGTATTGATAATAAATCTTGACAGCTTTGTAACATGCTGGTTAGTATTTCAAATTGTTGCGTGTAAATGTATATTTTTGGTTTTCACCCAGCTGCTAGAGGTGAGTGCCATGCTCAGTTTAACTCCAGGACTTCGAGAATTCAATGCCTTTATAAAGATTATCCCCAATTAGATCTTATCTTCAAGTTCTCATAGAGAAAAAAAAATCTTGGTCATTTGATACCAAGAGCTTTAGAAAAGAAGAGCAAAGAGTAATGTTTTTGGTTTAATTTAAATTAAAAGTGTGGAAAAATTATTTCCAGCTATTTCAAGAGCGATTTCTAAAGTTAGTGAATTACTGCACAATCTAAAGAAATAAACTCATATCCTTAATAATGGTCATCTTCTAGTTATTAAGTACACATTTTCCAAACTCAATTTGGGGCACTGTACTTCTTTTAAATTAATAAATTCATTCCAGGAAGCTTTGGAATATCTCCATTAACTCCACACCCTCCCAAACCTCCTCAGACTTAAAAGGGCAAAAGGAAGTGAATAAATGTCTTTTCGGTAGAAGCACCAGCGAGGCTTTCTGAGCCTTTATACTTCAGGGATATTTTTGTCATTTTAATGACCCCTTGACTCTGTCCTATGCAAGTCAAGAAATGAAACTGCTACAGTGGTATAACTCTCATTCTAATTATAAACCGACTTTGGATTTTTTTTTTCTGGCGCCAACAGTCTTTTGAAGTGATTGACAAAAGGATCAACCTACATTGAGTTCACTACAGGCACCACGGAAACAAACCTTTTGAAACAAACCTTCATAGTTTTTGACTCTTCATCTATGACCAACATCATGTTTGGTCCTGGAAGCAAGGACCAGCGTGATTTCTGGGGCAGGTCTATGGGGCTGGCTATATGAGCTTTGCCTCCTACTAGCTGTGAGACTTGAGGCAAGTTACTTAGTTTCTCCTGCCTGTGAGTCCTCAGCTGTAAAACTACCTACACTTCAGAGGACTGTAATGAGGATTAAATTTGCTAATCCTATAAAACTTGAAACAGTGTCTGGCACATAGGGAAAACATTCAGTGTCTGCCACTGACAGTATTACACTACACACCAGCACATTTAAAATTTTGCTCACTGTATGAGTGTCAGCCTAATTTGTGTAACCAAAAATGAAAGTACAGCCAAAGTAAAGGTGTGAGAAAGATCTTGCCTCTTTAAGAATCCAAGACATATTTCTGTATAGAAAATAATCACACAGTATTTGTTTCAGTTAATGCCCCATCTGAAGTCCCTCTGTGACTGTTTTCTCTTCAGTAAAAGTAATTATTTCACTGGAAAATCTACCAATCTAAATCAAATAAAAAAGAGAGACTTACTATTTGATTTTGATTTTAGGCCAAAGTTGAAATCAATATTCAGAGCCTAAATGCGCTGTATGTTGAGGTGGTTCTCCAACTAGGACAGGCGATTCTCCCGAACCCAAGCTCCATGTTTCTTAAAAAACCTTCACACCGCAGCAGCACAGGAAAACGCCAGCTTCACCGACAGTGCTCCCATCCCCATGCGTGTCCTCCCAGCACCTGTGAACTTTGATAGGGCTGATTCCCGGCAGAGATGGATACTGAAGTGGAAAAGGAACTCCATGAGCTCAGACTGAAGCAATCGGTGAGGGGCGGCTGCGTCTACGTAGTGATTTTTGCAGTGAACAGGGTATTGAAAAGACAAATCCTGCACCACCAAGTTGGGTTCTGTGGCACCAAGAGCTGAGAGCATCTAGGCACCACGCCTTTCAGCCCAAGTGAAAGAAACTGCAATCACACTCGAGGTTTCATGCCCACATGACCAGAGCCCGGCGTGGGTCACTCACATAACTATGCATTAGCCCCACTAACGACCCACTCGGACACGGGCAAAGATATCCAACGCGCGCACTTAAACGCTCAGATTAAACCAGCCCCAGCCGTGCACAGAGCTTTTAAAAAGCGTTTTCAAAATACCTAAATGCCTTTACAAAGTCTCCAGTCTCTCCTTTATGAGTTTTCTGAGAACTTGCTTTAGCCACGTTTCCTAACTGCAACTCACTCTGGTTAATTATTATTTACACTCCTGTGCTATCTGCCGCCCCTGCGCACAGACCACCAACAGAAGAAGGTAGAACGGAGCACACTCTGGGGCGAGCAACAAGGCTCGGTTCGGACAAACACGCCCGAGCCCCCTAGGGTAGGGAGCAAGCATCGGGCAGAGCGAGCCATGGAGCTGTGCCACCGTCTCCGCCCCAGTGCAGATTGTGCACAGTTACAACGACCGCTTTCAAAATAATCAGGTCCATGAATCTGCCCAATTATCCAGAATAGTTTTCATTCATGATTTTTCAAAGTGTAATTAAGCAAACGGCATTTAAAAGACTCTCTTCTCCACCCCCACCCCTATCCCCCCACCCCGCCCTTAAAAATATGCACTAATCCCGCAGCCACGCCCGGCGCTTGGGGACATCCGCGCCGGCAAAGCGCACGGGAAGCGGCTCCCCCCGCGGCAGGCGCTCCCGGTCGGGTGAAGACGGGAACGCTGAGCTCCCGGCCCGGCCAGCAGTGTCCAGTCCCCCGTCTCTGCGCTCCAGGGCTGCTGGGCGCTCGCGGGCAGCGCTCCCAGGACGACGCGGTTCTTTATTCAGCTTTTTTGAGTCCATCCTAAAAGGCCACGGAGGGTGGGGAGGAGCAGCCCGAGACGGCGTGCATCTTCCCTGGGGGGTTTCCGCAGCTGCCCCCGGCGCCCCTAAAGGTGCCCGACGTCCCGAAGTCTGTTATTTCCCAGCTGGTTCCTGCCCGCCCCCGCGCACGCCTGCCCCTGAGCCTCCAACGCCTCCGCCTACGACTCGCAGCCCGTCCCGGGTCAGGGCCCGAGGTGGGCCGGGACGGAGTTCCCAGACCGGCGGCTGACCATCAGCGGCCCCCGTCTGACGGAGTCTGACGGCGCTTCCAGGCCCCCGGGACATGCGAGATCCGCAGAGTGCCCACCGCCCAGATGGGAACACTGATCCCACCTCGCCCAGCGAGGCTCCCAGACCCCCAGACAGCTACGAAGGCTGTGGCTCGGGGTGGGGGGACGCGCGGTCAGGGCTGGCCAGGCCTCCAGCTGGGCAACTGCTGGCAGAAATCACACACCAAGGACAGGAGGGAGGAGGAGGCTGGGGGGAGCAGCTTAACCCAGCGTCGCCCTACTCGTCGCTTCTACTCTCCCCGAATTCCAGGGGGTGGGGCGCAGGTTCCGTTGGACTCTCGCCTTTAGCTAACGGAGTCGTGAGTCCCCTGAGAGCGAGCTGGGCCTGGATGAATATGGAAACTGGGGGGTGGGCGCAGCCCCTAGCTCCCGAGAGCCTGCGTCTGGAGACCCCGCGAAGTTCGAAGTCCAGCCGAACTAGCAGCTCCGAGGGAGGGGCGACGGCTGCGGAAAAGGCCGTTCCGGGCCTCAATCCTCGAGCGAAACCCACAACCCGGTCAGGAAAGATCCAGTCCCAGGACGCCCCGACCTTCGGAAACACACTTCTCCGGGTCCGTGCAGGGAAAGACTCCGGTGCCGGGGTCCACCCGCGCCCCGGCCCCGAGCCCGCCGCCGGCCGCAGTGCGCACGTCCGCCCGACAGGGGCCAGCAGCGCTCCACGCGCCGGCCCTCGCCCGGCCCAGCCACTCGCCGGCCAGTCGCCCCCTCCTCGGGCTCCAGGAAAAAAGGACTGCACCCCTAAAGTTAGCAGACGCGGAGCAGCAGCCGCGGGACGCCGACGCCCCCGCCCCATCCTATGGGACGCAGAAGTTTGCTAGAAGTTGGTCGGGGCTGGAGACGCACGGCCGCGCGCGGGGGGACCCGGCCGGAGAGAAGAAGCTAAAGCACGGCCGGGGCTCGACTCTTGCTGGGGTCAGCCACAGCGGGACAGTGGCCGAGCCGCCGCCCAGACTCGGCGGAGACCTCAGGACCGGTCCTGGGGTGCTCGGGTTCAGCAAGCTCCTCCTCGGCTTTACGCGAGGAGGCGAAAGCGGGCGCCCGGGACGGCGCGGGCCGAGCTTCACTGACGGCGGGGCTGTCACCCGGGCACCGGCCACCTCGACCCCCCCCTCCCTGCTCCCCTGGGCCCGGGCCCGGGCAGTACTCACCGGTACCAGGCGAGGCCCCGGTCGTAGCTGCGATCGAAGAAGTGCGGCTCGGCGCCCGCGGCGCGCACGTCGGGGTGCACGCGCAGAAACTCCAGCAGCGCGCGCGTGCCGCCCTTCTTCACGCCCACGATGATGGCCTGCGGCAGCCGCTTGCGGCCCGGCCCGCTCGGGAAGCTGGACATCGGGACGGGCGCGCCCGGCGCCCCGGGACTCGGCTCGGCGGGGTCTCCGAACGGCAACCCGGGGCGCGCCCCGTCGGGGGGCGGCAGGCCAGGGAGCGCCCCGGCGTGGGGCGCCCCGTCGGGGGGCGGCAGGCCGGGCGGCGCCCCGTCGGGGGGCGGCCGCCCAGGGGCCGCGGCGCAGGGCCCGGCGCAGGCGGCGAGCAGCGCGCAGAGCCAGACGCAGAGCATGGCGAGCAGCACCGCGAGCCGCCTCCTCAGCGGCGCCGGGAGCCCGCCGGGCGCATCGGGGCACGGCCGGCCGCCGCTCAGGCTCGGGCCCATGCGCTGGCCGCCAGCGCGGCGCGGGACATGGCTCGGCCCGGCTCTCCGGCGCGAGGGTCGCGGGTGGGTCCTACTGTCCCCGCGCGCCCGACCCCGCCGGCACCGCGGCTGCCCTCACCCAGGCGGCGCTGGACATGCCGCCAGGAGCAGTCGCAAGCGGACAGAAAGTCGGACTGTCGGCAGCTGCGGCAGGCGGCCGGTCGGGGGACACGGGGCGCTCCGCCGCCGCCGCCGGGGCCGCCGCCGAGCGGGCGCAGGGGAGAGGCGGGAGAGCAGCGCGGCGCGTCCCGCGGCCGAGCCCGGAGAACTGCGCAGGAAGCTAGAGCGGAGCGAGGTGTGGGGGCGGGCCAGCCTCGGAAGGACGGGCCGCTCCACCAACCAGAACCCCGCGGCAGCATGCAAATACGGGCGCTGCGGGGCGGGGCCCGGCACTGTGATTGGCTGCAGAGCAAGGGGCGGCTCCAGGGGTGGAGTCACGACCTGGTGACAGGAGCAGATGGTGGGAAGGATGCTGGGGTGACCCGGCGCTGAGAAGTCCGAGCCCACCGAGCGGCGCGCTGGGGCCCCGCCACGTGTCCGCGCCCCTCCCACCAAGCCGGCCCGCACCCGCTCTGGTCCGGATGTCAGGACACGAACCCACACTCAGATTGTGGTGGCGAAGGGGGTGTGTGCGTGTGTGTGTGTGTGTGTGTGTGTGTGTGTGTGTGTGTGTGCGTGCGCATGTATGTGTGAGTTGAGGGGAAGTTGGAGGAGAGGGAATCAAACCAGCGATTCCTGTATCCTCTAAAACCCGCCCAGTCTCACTCAGAGGGCAGGAGAGGGAGATGATGGAATGGGGTGGAATTTCCAGACCAGACACCCATTCAAGAAGTTTGACTCTGAGTAGAAAGCACGTTTAGAAACCATTGTCAGGTGTTTTGTTGTTGTTGTTGTTTGTTTGTTTGTTTGCTTGCTTGTTTTAATGTCATTCTTTTGCCAGAAGCTACTCTCGCGTTCTGCCGGTTAACTAGGATCAGAATAAACTTGTCCTCAAAAAATATTCCTAGATTTCCAACCTACGCGGTTTGCGAAAGATTGGGGAGCGAGGGAAGAATTTAGGAGGGAGATAAAGACTTGTAGGAAACAAATAAACAAATAAAAGTGTCCTGGTCGTTGAAAAATGAAAACCAAGTGACATTAAATTGAAGAAAATGTTCCATATCCCCCCTTTCCCTGATTAAAACATCAAAGCCATAATTAGTCTTCATTTAAGGAGATGGTTTAAGTTTGCTGTCATTCTAATTACTAGGTGTTTTTCACCGCCGATTTTTCAGAGTCAAATGTCAACTTGAAGCACATAGATCCCCGAGTTGTTTTTATTTATAGCCCAAGTCTGCTCCAGGCTCCTGTTCTCTTCTGTGAAACGACCTGCCTGGGGCGGGGGCGAGAGGGGTCTGGGCCCGTGGACGACCGCAACCCCTAGATGCTCGCCCGCATCAGGAGCCGACTAGCCGAGCGTCCCGAGCTCCTGCGGGGGTGTCTGGAAAGTTACCCGTGCCGGCACCCTGGGCCCTGCGGCCCCCAGGCTTGGGACACCAGCTGTCCGCGTCTCGGGCGGGCCGTTGCCTGGAGATGTTCCCACGCGCTGCGGGGCCGCGCCCCGAGATGCCGCCAGAGCCCGGAGGGACGGGCCTCCGCCTCCCCCCCGCTCCGGATCCTCTGATCGGCCGCCCCCGGGCCCGGAGCCTTGCGGGAGACCCCGGGAGCTTGGGGACCCTGGACCGTGCGGGAGACCCCAGAAGCTTGGGGACCCGGGCGGCCACCCCCAGCAGCGCGACCCGCAGCCTGCGACCTCTTTGAGTTGCTTGGCCCGAACCCCGCCAGGAAGCGTCCGAGCCGAGGGGTTCAGAGGGCGGGTTCTTCTCCCCTTTAAGTCGCAAGGGCAGCTTCTGCTTGACTTTTCCGCTCTCGCCAGAAAGTTGTGTTCTTCGTCAGTGACCCTTAAATTTCAATTTAATGAATTCACTATTGCTTTAAATTGACTAAACGCGAGCATAGTCTCAGCATCCGCCTGATTTCCCTCCCCCACCCCGCCCTTTGGAAAGGAGGGCGAGGCGCCCCGGAGAGCGCTCCTTCCTTCCCATCACTTCTGGGGACTCGCCGCCGTCCAGCCGGGCCGAGCGCTGGCCTCTGCCGCGGCGGGGTGGGGGTTGGTGGTGGGGGGTGGCGGTGCGTGACTCATGCGGTTCCAAATCAAGGGTGCGGTGAGCCTGCCTTCAGCGCTGCCGAAGCGGGATTCTCAGGGGGGAGTCGTGCTGGTTGGTTTGCTTGGGTTTTAGAATCCTAATAAAAATCGTGCTTGTGTAAATCCTGTATTAGAAAGTCCAGCGCGATGAAAAGGAGAAGAGTGAGCGCTAGAAGAAGGCCGCGGGCCCGTTAGGGTCCCGCACCCTCCGGGGCGGGGAGCCGGGAGTGTCTATTAGGGTCGGCGCTGCGCGGGGCAGAGCGCCCGGAGCCCCCGCGTCCGCATCCTTCCCGGCCGGCACTTGGGCCCTGGGCCGGCCCCCGAGCAAGGAGGGTCTGCAGCCCGGACCCCCGCGCTGGCTGGGTCCAGCTCCAGGACACGTCCGGGCCCGAGGCCCGAGGCACCAAGCGCCCTCTCCCATTCTCCCGAGGGCCGGACCCGGTTCTGACGGGCCCTCGAGCCTTCACCCCAGGCAGGCAAGCAGCGAGCGGGCAGCCCTGGCGGAGGAAGCCTTGCTTTAGACCATTCAAAGATCTGGCCCTCGGGAAAATCAGAACGGGCTAATTCGATTCCAGCACGGGTGTCTTTGGGAGGGGTGTTTGCCATGAGCCGATCGATGCTCCCCCCAGGACTCGGGGGTTCTGCCCTGACAGGCGATCTCCCCAGGGGTCAGCCCGTCTCTCTCTGTCCAGGCCCCGCGGCGGACACCTGCCTTCGGACCCTAGTTCGTCGTCACCCTGCCTTAAGATTTGCAATCTGCAAAATAAGAGCTTTGAGCCCAAAGATCCCCTCGCTGCTTCCCGCCTGAAGCACCTGATCTGGGTTTGGGAAAGGCCCCTGGCCCTGTTCCTGTTTCCGACGGGACCCGGGACGCTCCGGGGGCTGCTGAACGGATGGCTGAGCCCCGGTTCCTGCCGACGGAACCGGGACTTCCTCCGCTCTTCCACCTCCACGCCCCCTCCTGGGCCCAGCAGCTGCGAGCTCCCTCCCCCCTCCCCTCCTCTCCCGCTGCACGCCCACAGCTCCCGGGAACGACGCGGAGCTGGTAGGGGCGGGGCGGGGAGGAGGGCCACAGTCCTTCCACGGAACCAGCCCCCGTCTCTCCTCTCCAGCTTGCCTCACACTCCTGTGACTGCCCAAGTACAGGCCACGTAGGCGCCCACCCCTCTTCTCACCGCGTGTAGGGTGTAGGTTAGAGACCTCCAGGGCGCTGGCAGAGGCCTTGGTCTGCTCAGCCTCTGGGTAGATTAGAAGGTCCCAATCAGGGCAGCTGGGAGGTTCTCGGTCCCCTACCCCAACCACCCCGAGGAGAGGCGTCCAGGCCCGAGCACCAGAGGCCACTGTGGGACGCAGCCTCAGCCTCCAGTGAGCTTCTGCCCCACTTCTGGAGCTCTTCTATGTTTCCTGTAGGAGAACTCCTCTGCAAATCACAGAGGTGGAATGAATGGTTCTCATTTTATAGAATAAAAGAAATTTGATTTTCCGCTTGATTTAGTGACTTGCATCCTAAAAGTCAAGGTTGTCGGTGTCCAAATCTTTCCTCCTTATTGCACCCTGCTAGGGGATGGAAGGTTTTCCTTGTGCACACTGGCGAGTGGAGCAGGAATGGTGGGAAGATGCCGGGAGAGGAATACGGAGCATGACCTAGACTGCCCAGCCGTCTCACCCGCTGATGAGCCTGACACATAAGCGGCCCAGCTCCACAGCCGAAACGTGTCAAATCGCCACACTGCCAAATTGTCCTAAACCTCTAAAACCTCCCAGAATGAGAGCTGACTGATTCCCCCCCTTCCCTACGGTCCAACTGCGCCCCATACCCCAGACCCTCTGAAATATAGACCTCCAGTTCCACAGTTCCTAGAGCTCGTGGCCTCACACGCAGCTGTTCGACACCTCCAAATTTCACAGTACTGATAGCACAGTATAAGTACAACAAATTTGTTGGGAAATATACATATAAGCCCACCAAGCTCAATATGCAAAAAACAGTAACACAGACGGTTCACCCAGCACCAACCAGCTCAATAAATCCTCAGATGACGACTTTAGTAACACCACTGTGAGATGTAGCAATTATCATAAGTGACTGTTATTGATTTATTTTCTGATAATTCCATTTGCCATTTTGTTGTATCAAGCAATATGAAGTAAATCTATGCCTGCTAAGGGAACAGGCTTCAGGGGTGGGTGGGAAACTGGGGGCATTGGACACACTGGTGGTGGGATTAGTGTTGGAACACTGAATGCCTGAAACAACTATTACCAACAATTTTGCACATTACAGTGTTTAAATTTAAAAAAAATACCAACCGAGGCTCCTGCTTGAGTGACTGCTTCCCTGCACTGGAAGCCACAGGTCTTGTCCCAGTCTGCTCTGCTCTGCTATGATCACCAGGATCTGGAACAACCATTCTCTTCAGGGCTGGGATGTCAGAAACAGTACACCTATCAGTGCTAAGACATTAGATTGCTCCTCCAATGTGTTCCTTTCTCCAGCTCCTTCTACTCTCCTCAAATTGCCTTGGGCAACCATGGAAGGTAGTCGACACTGGTGCTGGAACAGAATGCCTGAAACTCAACTATGAATAGCTTTGAAAATACGACCAAAGGAAAAAAATACCAATTGACAAATACCTAGTGTCTCTTTCTGCCAGGACAATGACACCAAAGTTGACAGCTAATCAGGTTCCCAACCACTTACTGGCTGAGGGACTCTGGGTAAGTTTAACAACCCTTCTGAACCTCAGTGCCACTGTCTTCCTTCTTGCTCCTTTCTTGAAAATGCCTTCAATCTCTCCTCCTCCACTGTACTCCCTTGTCAGTGAAATCCCTTCAAGGCTGATCCCAATTTCAGTCTTCCTAGTCTGAGTTACTCAATGTTTAGAGGAAACTATGCTGCGGAGATGACTAAATCAGCTTTGATTTTCTGTCACAGACTTCTTGCAGGCAAATCTGAAAGCTCTCTTGTGTCTCCAGTATCTTTTTTTTCCATAATGAGACAAGCTTGTATGTTTTGTCTTTCACTGTTTTTATTTTTCCTCACATGACAGCAT